ACAGAGTCCCACATTGCTGGTGGGACTTTGTAGTTTTAACTGGTGTTGAGTGAATGCTGGCACACCTGGCTGCCGCTGCTCACTGGTTATTATTGTTATATTTTTACTATAATTTTTTCTGATGCTGACAACAATTTGAATCAAGTATCTAAGGCGCAACCTTGTTTTGACTTGTTTCTGCAATATTTGCAGTTTCTATCACTTGCGCTGAAGCTGTCAGCTGTTTGTTCGGTCCCTACTTTCATCTGGCCGCTTCCAACCATTGCACAACACAGAAGAGCCACCTCGTCAGCCCACTGGTGGTTAAATACCTGGGATTTCATGCTTGGGTGAGAAGTGAAACCTAGAGATGTTGCCGTTGTGTATTAGTCTTTCAAGACTTTTCGTAACCTAACATGTGTCAGGGTAGAACACAACAATTTCTGCTAATATCAGAGCGTTAGTGTTCTAGCAGCAGGACACCCTGGATGACCCGGCATCGACCCCCCCTCTTGTCTTTTTAGTGCTCATTTATTTTGAGTTATTGCCATGTTTATAAAAATTACATTTTCATTTGGAAAAATGTTTAACATGTGGTCATTTTTCATACATGTATTATGAAATACGCAACAACTACATACTAGTTTGTTTTTTCAGACTTAGACTACCAGTGGCTCAAGAGTTGGCAGTTTGTCTTGTAATCGGAAGGTTGCTGGTTCGAGCCCCGGCACCGACAGTCTCGGTTGCCTACTGGTTGCCTACTGGTGGTGGTCAGAGGGCCCGGTGGCGCCAGTATCCGGCAGCCTCGCCTCTGTCAGTGCACCCCAGGGTGGCTATGGCTACAATGTAGCTGCCATCACCAGTGTGTGAGTGTGTGTGTGGATGGATGTGTGAAGCGCTTTGGGATCCTTAGGGACTAGTAAAGTGCTATACAAATAAAGGCCATTTACCATTTATAATGTTAAGTACAATTTGGATTACGTTCAGTTTACAATATTAAGTAAATGGAACAAAATTTTGGAGTAACTGACCATCTATATTTCAGTTACATTGACCAAGCATGTCATTGTTACTTACTCAGTTTTTTCATGTTTGTGTAAAACTACAATTATTTATTTCAGCTTAATATGTTTAAGCTTTAGTTATTCAATTGATTAAGTATATTGAACAGATTTGACTGGTTTCCAATCTACTCAATATCTTTAAGTGTAAAAGTGTTGCCTCAAACATTTTAAGTAAATGTCAGTTTTAGTTTTTGGAGTGCACATCCACATTTTTATCGATATCTGCAGGTCAGGCATTACATCCAATCACAGTTTAAAGACTTTGCAACTCTTCTGTCGGAGCATGGCCTCTATGAAATACTCAAGAGCCAATCTGATTCCAGGTAAAAACTGTACACTTTTTTGGTGATTCTATGGTGGTGTATACTGCTGGGATTAGGCAGGCTTGGGAGAAAGAATTGGGGA